TACCACCCAACCGAGCCTCAAAGCTACTCTTAAATTCACTTTGCAGTTAGATAAAACTAATCTCTTTTTGTTTCCAGATTGCTAGCAGCACCTTTCCATCCCTCCTCTTAACTTTTTGGTTTCTAAGAGGCAAGAGTCCTCTGCTACTGTCCACCAGATTTTCTTCTAAATACCAATACTAATTCTACAAATATTGATGCTGGTCCTTTTAATATGTGCTGTCAATGATAATTAAGTCATGACTGCTGCCTGACTGATAGAAATTGTAAGATGACATCAATTATAAGATGAATCTTAACCAAAAGAGTGGCTCAACAGTAGAGTGCCTGCCTATTCTGTGCAAAGCCCTAGCTTTGATCCCCAGCACCACAAAAAAACAAAACAAACAAAACAAAATCTCAACTTCATTGATGTTAAAATATATTAAAAAAAAATGAGTGTCTAAACTGGACATGGTAGCACATGCCTGTATTTTCAGTGACTCAGGAGGTTGAGCCAAAAGAATTACAAGTTCAAGGTCAGCCTGGGCAATTTAGGGAGACCCTTTTCAAAATTAATAAATAAAATTGGCTGGGAATATCACTCAGTGGCAGAGTTTCCCCAATTTCAGTCTCTAGTATGGCAAAAGAAAAATAAAAGTACTGGGCTGGGGTTGTGGCTCAGTTGTAGAGTGCTCACCTAGCATGTGTGAGCACTGGGTTTGATCCTCAGCACTGTGTAAAAATGAGATATAGATATTGTATGTTCACCTAAAACAAAAAAGTAAATATATGTTTAAAAAAAACCGAAAAAGGTACCTAAGAATCCACAAAATATGAAGAAAATTCTCAAAGATGAGTCTTTGTGACCATGTTATATGAACTAGCTACAAAGGATAGAGGGATAGAGGAGGATATAGTGATCAGAAGCAGCAGCATTGAATGGTCACTTAGCTATGTTTTTTTTAATATATTTTTTTTAGTTTTCGGTGGACACAACATCTTTATTTTTATGTGCTGCTGAAGATCGAACCCAGTGCCCCCTGCATGCCAGGCGAGCACCTTACCACTTGAGCCACATCCCTAGCCCCATGTAGCTATTTTTAAACTGCATTAATTCATGCTGATATCAAAAGATTCAGACTGGGTATGTGGTAGAGCAGCCCTGGGTTGGATCCCTAGCACCACACACATACACAAAAGATTCATTCACACAAGTACTAGGAAAAATGTCAAATATGGCTTCAATTTTAATTTATTTGACTTATAGAAAATATTCCAAAACTAAGTACATTTTAGTAACCTTTTCCTGGTGCATACCTGTAATCCCAGCAGCTCTGAAGGCTAAGGCAGGAGGATTGCAAACGAGGCCAGTCTGAGCAATTTATCAAGAGCCTTTCTGAAAATACAAATAATAAAAATGTATAGGGATGTAGCTTAGTGGTAGAGCACCCCTGGGTTCAGTCCCCATACCAAACAACAATCATCTTCCCTAATTGTACTACTAATATAATTGTTCATATAGATGATGTAGGCTTATAATGATAAATGCCAGTATCAATGACCTACCAGGGACATTCCTATCTGAAGGGAAATGGGCAGTCTGAAAGGGGTGAAAGACTTCATTTTCAAAGGGAAGAACATGCCCAAGAAAAATTGTTCATTCTTTTGACAAATATTCATTGAGTTACCTGCTCTTTATAAGGTACCTATGAGGGAAAAACATTAAGCATCCCATTGGTGTTTAGGCACCTCAAATCTTATTCATGAGCCAGGCTTGTAATACCAGTGACTCAGGAGGCTGAGGCAGGAGAATTGCTAATTTGAGGCCCACCTCAGCAATTTAGCAAGGCCCTGTCTCAAGATAAAAAACAAAAAGGGCTGGGAATATAGCTCAGTGATAAAGTGCCTCTGGGTTAAATCCCCAATACCAAAAAAATAAATAAGTAAATAAGAGAATTTTGTTCGAGATGATTTTTGATAATGTTTGGTAAGGAAATCAAGTGGCTATGACAGATGATGATTAAAGGTAAGAGACCTGAGTTGGGCATGTTCCATGTTGTAAGAATGCTAGATTTCTAGATTTCTTTTGATTTTTTTTTTCTTTATGACTTAAGTATTACCTAGATTTGAACATTCAAAATATATAGAAGATTAGGGCTGGGGTTGTGGCTCAGTGATAGAACACTTGCCTAGCATGTGTGAGGCCCTGGGTTCAATCCCCAAGACCACATAAAACTAAACAAAATAAAGGTATTGTGTCCATCTACAACTAAAAGGAAAAAAATACAAAAGATTAAAGGGTGAAATGTAAATATTTCTTCAATCCTTGTTTTCTTAGAGGCAACTTTTCTATATCTTACCAGTAGTATTTCATGAATATATGAATATGCATTTTTTTTAAGAACTAGAGGCATCAATCTTTAATAACTTATAGGCAAATGCTAAAAAATAGTTAATAATAATACAGAGAACACACATGGCTTATAAAAAGGGTTGTGGATCTACAAATGTGAGGGAGAGATCTTGGTTTTCACACAGACACAAAAAATAAAGACTATTTTGACTGGCTGAATATGCATTTTTATAGTGGGAAATCTAGCCTTTGAGTACAGAGCACCTAGAGGAGTTTGGAGATGATGGCATAATTTTAGGTGAAAAAGTTCACATAGAGGATGAAAATATTTGGACAACTGATCAGTTTGGATAGGAAAACAGAATGGGATTATCAATACTTTTTGCATTGTGCACAGCACTTGGTAAGTGTTTAGTAAGTATTTACCGATTGACTAGTTGCAGCAGTGGAGTATAATCAAGGAGTTGGCCTAGGCATGGTGACACATGCTGGTGGTAATCCTGGAATGCGGGAGACAGGAATCCTGGAGACAGGAGGATTGCAAATTTGAAGCCAACCTCAACAATTTAGTAAGACCCTCAGCAACTTATTGAAAACTTGTCTTAAAATAAAAAATAAAAAGGGCTAGGAGGGCTGGGGATGTGGCTCAAGTGGCGTGGCATGCGCAGGGCGCTGGGTTCAATCCTCGGCAACACAAAAATAAAATAAAAATGTTGTGTCCAACGAAAGCTAAAAAATAAATAAATTAAAAAGGGCTAGGAATGTGGCTCAGTGGTAAAGTGTCCTGAGTTAAATCCCCAGTATAAAACCAAAACCCAAAACAAACAAACAAAAAAAGGAGTTGATTTGGAAGCTGAAGTAAAATGGAGGTTAGGAAAGAGAGAAGTTTATAGTTTCTGCTCCCTCTTTTTGTTTATGGTTCTGTATTCCTTTGGTTCTCTCAATTCTGGTTTCATTCTCTTGTGTTTTTTGTGGTCTTCTTTTTTCATCTCCCTAGATCAGTTCTCCTTTTTTCTATCGCATTTTTCTTTCTTTCTTTCTTTACCTTTATTTATTTATTTTTGTATGATGCTGAGGATCCATCCCAGTGCCTCATACATGTGAGGCAAGCACTCTACCACTGAGCCACAACCCCAGCCCAG